CTGATTTTACGCGGATGCCATTTTTAAAAGTGAAATCGAGGCTGTGGTGGAAAGAAATCCAGAAGTATTGTTGGGAGTTACATAGAAACATTGTGTACTTAGCTGTATATCTTATCAGCGAAGAGAAAATGACACAAATTTATAATTTCAGCACCTTCCGAGTGACCCGAAGGTCCGAATGGTGAAAATAATAAGGGATGTTAGAGCTCATTTTCAGCAAAGTTAAGGGAAACAGCTAAGGTTTTCTTTCCCAAACACATGTTTTAGATGCCATTTATCAAACTCGAGTTAATGAACTGATTCTTTCACTAGATTAGACTTGTCATGATGCTGAATTAAAAGAAAAAACAACAATTTCCTGCTAACATTTAAGGCACTGTTGAAGGCTTTCAACAGCGCGGATTTGCCTTTGTGTTCATGATAAATGCTGGTGATTGGCCGAGAAGGTCATCAGTTCACCCACCGCTTTTTACAGAGCACAAACACAGAAGAGCAATCTGCTTGATGACTCGACTGATCTTCACGGCTGCTTCGCGCTCCCGTATCTGTGTTTGCACTGGGTGAAGAGCGGTAAACTAAGAGCAAACACAGCTACACGAAGATTATCACACAGCATAATCATCTCGATTGTTATTTCAATATTTCTGAACTTCCAGAGCTAAAATGCCTCATCAAAATAGGTTTGTATACTTACCTACCTTAACCACAAACAGCAGGCACTCTTCTCCAAACACAAGAAAGGTGCAGCGCATTTCTTATGGGGGAAAAAATAACTTTTTTCCTACTTGCAGAAATTTTCATATTGATATCACTCTCGATTCTCAAAAACTGTGGATTATATTGTCTTGAATACATGGGTTTGAAACAGTGCTTCATATGCCAATGTTTTTTGTGATATTCTAGTTTTATAAAATAAAAAATACTTACACAATTTTGGATGAAAACAGATCCACCTTCTATGTGTTGGTATTTTAAAGTTTTGAACCAAAATCAGCTTAACAAAGAAGCAATAACATTATCATTTTTAATAAGATCAAGCCATTTCAGTTTTCAGTTTAGTTAAGTAATTGTTCAGGGTTCGTTAAATAAATTATGAAACAATGCTTATAGAGCTATAAACATAGAAGGCAATAGTCTCAGGTCAGGTCGCGCAGGTCAAGTTGGTGTACAATATATGCTCTGCTGACTTGTTGTTTACTACAGCAGCTACTTTTTTGTCTTGTGTAAAACATTTTCTCTTCATCACGTGTATTAATGCTAAATGCCATTTAAATTAAATCTATAATACTATCACACTCTGCTCTGATTATTTTATTAACCAGCAGGGCCTCATCTTAGCATGCTATCTTGTTTTCATATCTTTGTCCAGCTGGCAGGCTAATCTCTTATTTCATTACACGGATATTAAGTATTTCAGGCAGACCACATTAATGATAATACAAATCCTTACTGTGCCCTTTCTAAAGTTACAAGTCATAAACACTTCTAGGTCATTGAATGATAGATGAGCTTGAAAAACATATACAATAATAAAACACTATGTGTTTTTTTTTGTTTTTTTGTTCTATGATCTGTTTGAAGCTGTTGATGAACAACACAATGCCTTTAGTCTGTAGCAGTATGCATATTTTGTCAGTACTCTGCATATTTTAATGCAGTTTGGGCTCTTCTAATTAGGTATGCATGATCACATTAACATAATCACAGTATTCTGCTTGCATTAGCTTCAACTTAATCAAAGAGCAGCTTTAATCACATTTCAAAGGTAGATTATATCTTTAAGATCTGAAAGGAAAATCACAAATCTGAAAGGAGGAGGTTTTAGTTTTATTCAGAGAAGGATGTCATCTCTGTTTTCAGTGTTAGGTAGGACAAAAATGTATTTAATTTGACAAGGAACTGGGTGGCACGGTGGCTCCTGGCCAATTCTGCCCACTGGCCTCTGTCCATCACGGCCTCCTAACCCTCCCCAAATCATAACTGGCTTCATCACTCTGTCTCCTCTCCACCAATCAGCTGGTGTGTGGTCTGGTGCAAAATGGCTTCCGTCGTGTCATCAAGGTGGATGCTGTGCACTGGTGGTGGATGAGGAGATTCCCCCCTATGTGTAAAGTGCTTTGAGAGCCCAGAAAAGCGCTATATAAATGTAAGGAATTATTATTATTATTATTATTATGAATATTAGTGGTTAGCACTGTTGCCTCACATCAAGAAGGTTGCTGGTTCAAATTCTGGCTGAGCTAGTTGGCATTTTTGTTTGGAGTTTACATGTTCTCCCCGTGTTGGTTTCCTCATGGTGCTCTGGTTTCCCCCACAGTCTAAAGACAAGAAGCATGCGTTACAGGTGCATTGGATAAACAAAAAATGGCCGTAGTGTATGTGTGTGAATTAGTGTATGGGTGTTTCACAGTACTGGGTAAAACATAAACTGGAATAGTTGGCAGTTCATTCCGCTGTGGTGACTTCTGACAAAAAAGGGATTAAGCAAAAGGAAAAGGAATGTATTGAATGAATGAATAAATGACAAGGAACCCAAATAGTCAAAGGTAGAGAAAAAATAAGTGTCTTAATGCCTCCGGCACTTAGACTGCAGCTCTGCACAAGATGTTTGGCCAGTGGAGAAATGGTCGTGCCCATCTGAGCCTGGTTCTCTCAAGGTTTTTTTCTTCACTTTCGCCAATTGGTGAAGTTTTTTTCCTCGCTGCTGTTGCCACTAGCTTGCATGATTTGGGATATGTAGGGCTGCGCATCGATGGATTTAATCTTCAGTGTTTGGACTCTCACTAGAGATTATTAAACCACACTGAACTAAGCTAAACTGAACTTAAACTTTAAAATCTGAACTACACTATTTCAATTTACTCTGATCTTTTATGTGAAGCTGCTTTGACACAATCTACATTGTAAGAGCGCTTTAAAAATAAGGATGAATTGAATTGAATTATAACCTTGTTGGATGCCATTGATAAATGTGTGGATGATCAGTCTCACAGTTTTTTTTTTAAAGAGTTTTTAAAATGCATTTTAAAATTCATAATTTTCCTCCAGCTTAGTTCCTTTATTCATTAGTGCAGAACAGCAGAATGAACCGCCAACTTGTTCTTCCTCACATGACATTTAGATCATTTTGATTACATCATGGATTTTGACATGGAACTTGTGTTTATGTATTTATGGTTTGACCAGCAGGAGCTAACAGAAACATAACAGCAAAACGTTTACTCTTATAAACTGCTCCAGCCATGACCCCAAAGATGTGGGTTTCCTTAAAATAAATATATTTTGAACTATACTATTGCAGATAAGATATTACTGATGGACAAATTTTATGTTTCAACAAAAGCTCCACAGGAAACATGCTGATTTTAGACAAAAGTAGACTGAAAAGTTTTCAAAATAAAGTAAAATTGACATTATAGCCTACAGACAAGCATGTATCCTGTTGTGATAAAGGTCTTTGCATGTCTTTTTTGAACTTCAGTAATGTGAATAATAGAAATATACTCCATAGGTCTTAATTCAACATTGGTTATACTTGTAGCCAGATTAAGATTATAGAAAATCTCTCTTTAGATGACCAAGAGCAGGGGTTCCCAAACTTTTCAGCCCGCGACCCCAAAAATAATCATATCAGTGGCTCGCGACCCCCATTTTTCAAGGTGGTTGTACTGTAAATATGTAAACGTTGCAGACACAACTATAGGCAAATATAAACATGAGCTTATTGACAACACAAAAATGCAACAGTCTATTAACCATATAATGTTTTTTAAAGTCATTTATAGATTTAATTACATTTTGCTTTTAAAATTAAAGGCTGATGGCTGATTGTTATTTTTATGTTGTTGTTTCTTTAATGCAACTATTAACTATATTCTGTCGGTTATGAATAAAATATGGTAATTCTAATAGTTTAATAAAATTTATTTGAGTTTTGGATATCACCAAGCGACCCCTTGTCATTGTCCCGCGACCCCCCCAGGGGGTCCCGACCCCCACTTTGAGAACCACTGACCTAGAGTATTGTCTTAATTGTTGTAAAACCAGAGTACTGATGTTCTCATATAACTATATTTCTGGGAACTTTTTTGAACCTGTTTTTTTATGATAAGAGCAGAAATGGATTTTGTTTATTCTCCTGCCTGTCTGGGTACCTGCTATCTGCAAGTCTCATTAACGATAACTTTTTTACTAATTTTCAAGAGGGCAAATGTTCACATTAGATGGTGTCTGGCACATTGTAGAGCAGTTCTTTTCACAGATGAATCCCAGTTTTCACTATACAGTGCAGATGGCAGACAGCATTGTGGTTGTGGGATTTGCTGCTATCAACAATTTGAATTGAATGGCCCATAGTGGCAGTGGAGTTAAGGTATAGCATATGTTGTGGATGATGAAAACAGCTGCATGTTATTGTTGTCATTTTGAATGGCTGCGACAAGATCCTGACCCCCATTGTTATGCCCTTCATCCATGAACATCACCCCATCCCAAAAACATATATTTGAAAATAAAAGTAAACATTTAATGAATTTCTTTTTAACTAGCCTATTTTTAAACAATTTAAATTTTATTGTAAAACATATTATCATTTAATAATATTGCATTTGCATTAAACATTTTTTCATTAAAATATAATGAAATTAGATTTTTGATTTCATTTGAGCCTCACAGTCACAAAATAAAGTATAAATATGCATATTTAAACTAGATAATTATTTATTACTAATATTAATTTAGTTAGTTTACCGCACAAGGGTCGCCACTATGACTACTGTAAACTCTGGCTCCTGAAGCCAAACCAGTTGATAACCACGTCTTTAAAATCTGTATGTCAAAGCACATTTGATTCTTAAGATGCTGGTTTGTTTATCTCCTCCCCTCACGGTGCTCTCGAGCGCTCATTTCGCCCTGCTCCGCTGCGGCTGCTCGGCGAATGAATGGCATCTTTTTCGACATCACGTAAACGCCGAAGGGGGAGCGAGAGCGCGAGCCTCTTCCTCTTGTGCTCGCATCGGATGGAGCAGGATGAAAACCCCACTCCGTTGATTATTAATTTACAGCTTTGTCACACAGCGGGTCGCAGTACATCTGATCGTTTTTCTAAACGGCCCGTGTCCAGCCGTATGAATAACGGACACTATATATTTACTCCCCCCCTTTTGTCGATGTCAGGGACTCACTATGCAAACAGCATGAAATAATTCCATCGCACGAAGGACCTGGAGCCGGGAAAGACAACATGAAGTTACAAATCTCCGGTATTCTGCTCGTAGCGGCAGTAGCCTATGCAACAATAGAGGGTGAGTATAACCTACTTCAAGACTTTTCCAGCATTTATCCGTGGCCGTTGAATATTTCGACGCTTAGATTTGCTTACTTATTGAAATTATGCAAGCATGGACTGTACTATAATTGTGACCTTAAACGTTAATCAAAGAGATCACAATCAATTGAGCAAGTGTATTATCGGTTTTACCTTGAGCATTCAACCCTACAATTGACTGATGGAAAAGAAATTTGGCTCATGTTTAATTTACGCATATTGCTTGACTTCTAGCGCCCTCAACTGGGTCTCTGAATGTTATTACTGTTCAAAGTCATACATGCATGACTGATTTGGTTTTCCACCATTTAGATATGTTGAATGTTATTTTGAACCAACTTTAGAATGAAAAGCCACTATTAGGTGAGAAACATGTTGACTGTCTTGTGTTAATAGTGAAACACTGAAGCACTAATGCAAGAAAATGTGTTTTGTCTGGGTTTGGCAGTGTGTGAAAGTGAACAAATGGGGGTTCTTATCAGTATGGAGGCAATGAAAGCCTTCATCTGCAGCTTTAATCTGAAAAATGGAGCCACTGGACTGGCTATTCATTAATTTTGTCAGTCAGCATATCTGGAGAGAAATGCATGACAGCTTCTCTCTTCGTGTCTTTGTTCATTTTAAACAAGAGAAAGTGTTTAATCAAGGGGACTTTGCTGTCAAACATGACAGTCATAGATTCACAGAATATATATTCACAAAAGGAAATTCTGAAAGCTGATTTTTCTTCATGGGCAGTATTACATTGAAGCCTGACTGTTGCTCTGAATATCAGCATGGCAATATAATGAGTAACTAGTATTTGATTTCCAGGACAGCTTGATTGCAAGTTTGATGTTACTTTTAATCAACAATTTATTCCAGAAGCTGACCAAGAGAGAAATCAACTTAATTATTTTTGTAGAAATGAAATATGATGAAGGGGGTCTTTTATCACCCTGAAGCAGTGGCAAGGCCAGAAATGTGTAAGTTAGTGAACTTTGGTGAAATAGGGTAGAACTCAGTGCCTTAAACTTTGTGCACATACTGTATGTAAAAACAAGTTTCTTATATTTATCATCACTGATAATATAGTAATTAATTTAATGAGATGTGAGCTGACATTCCAACACTAGGGCTGTTCCTAACTAAATAATTTCTTAGTCAACAAGTAGTCATTCATTAAAGCCATTAGTGGACAAGTTTACCAAAATTGTTGAATTAGGCCTATTTAAATACCAGGGGAAACGGTTTGAGCTTAAGAACTGAGAAAGAGTGTCATTTGTAACATTGTTTTATGCTGTACAGGAATACAATAATAATACGTGTTAAACGTTGACATCAAGAACTTGCACATGCATAAAACTGCCCAGAAAAAAGATATGATAAGGATTGTGTTATGAAAATATGTCATGGAGCTTTACTGAATATTTATAACTTATTAATAAATCATCACCTTAGAGTTATAAGGTGCTATCTGGCATTTTTGTCAAAATTGAGTTATTGATATTCTTATTAAATGACAACTTCTTTACATTATGGGATGTTTTTGTTTATAAGTTGTTTACATCTTTAGTACTTTTTATTTAAAAAAACAAATGTTACACACATACTGTTTGCTATGGAATACAAAAACTTTGAAGCTCAATATCTCAAAATCATTCAGAACGCAGCTGGAACCTTATAATTCAGAGGTGACGAAATGAAAAGGAAAACATTAACACAAATTAAAATGTATGAATTTACAAAAAAAATAACAAACCCACTGCAAAAAAACTAAAACAAATCAATGTATCACAAAATGCAACTGAGACTGCCTAGTAGACCTACGGGGAGAGTCACATAGTCAAAAAGAGAGTCTTTTCTTATCAAATAAATATTTGTGTAAGTCAAATATACGTTTGTTCGTTCATTCGTTCAATCATTCATCCATTCATCCATCCATCCATCCATTCATTCATTCATTTTCTTTTCGGCCTAGTCCCTTTATTAATCTGGGGCCGCCACAACAGAATAAACCGCCAACTTACCCAGCACGTTTTACACGTTTTATGAATATACAATAAATATGAATATACTACAGCTGCACGATATTAGAAAAAAACTGACATTGCAATATTTTGCATTTCTGCTATATATATATTGTGATTAGAATAGAATTTTACAAAATAACATAAGTGGCAGTTTGAAAATAAATCATAATTTTTCATTAATTGGAATGATTTTGCAAGATCTGCATAAAATATAAAAAAAAATTCAACAAATTAAAGCACAGATGAAAACAACAGAACAAAGATAAATGAAATATGACATAAACAGCGATTTATCGTTTTCGATGGAATCTAACAAAGTTAAAATACATACATTTAACGATCAAATCTAAAAGTAACTTGTAATTAAAATGTAATCCTTTATTAAGCAGCAACATGTTATACATTCTTTGGCCCAAATTATTTTACATTTGCTTTAAATCTTATAATCGTAAGCCTTAAAAACACATCCAAGTAAAAATCTTTCAAAAGATTATGTTGTAGATGAGTGCTGCCGACAGATGTCAAGACAACAAACTGTGTTATATTATATGATGCATAACTGTTCAATTATTAAATGGAATTCAGTTAATTAGCTATTGAAAAATAATATTTAAACACCATATACATTCAAAAAATATTTTTTTTTTGCTCGTTCAAGCTACTCATTTAAAATAAGCTTAAATAACGGAATTCTTCAGATTTTATTGGGAAAACTTAATTTTTTATGTCCAATCCACATAAATTTGTTAAAAATGTTAAGTTAATCAGTTTTTGTGATCAATGAATGAATTGTGCAGATGTGCACATTGCGATATCGATGCCTAAACAATATATAGTGCAGCCACGAAATATTAAATACGGTATGTAATTAAAATGAAATGAAAAAAAAAAAATTCATTTAGAAGTTCTCAAATTAAATAAAGCATATCCTATATATATATATAAAAAAACAAATTAATTAATACTAACCAATTAATAATTAACAATATTGTCAAGCTAAAAACACTGTTTATAGAAATTAAAAAATTTGCAGCTATTGCCATCTCTATTTTCATTATCCTCAATATTTTTTTTTTCTCTCAGCCTTAATCATTCACTTTGTCTAGAATTCTAAATCACTTTGTGAAGGGGATATAATGTCAAATTGTAACACTTATTATTATAGTATTCCTGTACAATGTAAAACATTGTCACAAATAAAACTCTTACTCAGTCCTTAAACTTTAAATGTTTCCCCTTGGTTTTTAAGTATTCCTAATTGAATAAATTTATTAAATATAGTAAATTAATATATTAGTTGACTATTGGCTTTAATGAATGACTATTCGTTGACTAAGAAATTATTTAGTTGGGGACAGCCCTAGTGCTGGATACTCCAAAGCTCACATCTCGTTAAATCAATAACTATATCAAAATCACTTTGTCATGAGGCCTAAAATAACCTTATTTAAAATATGAATTCAGAAAAATTTATTTTTTAGATTTAGTTTTGACTTTTGAATTATAAAATATAAAACACACCTGCAGAAAACAGTGGACAGTCTGAATAAAATGGCTAATTCTCTACCAGTAGATGGCACTTAGTCATAACTCCATCATGAACACTGCGCTGTTCTGCAGGATCCGATTTATGTTTCAAATTTAACCAGACTCATTTTTAAAGCGATGAAATGACTTTTGTGTTTCGACCATAGACTGTAAAATATATGGACGTAGTGTCCGTGACGTCACTTATAGGTTTCTGAAGAGCGCAAAAGAAGCCACAAGTAGGCGCGGCCAACCGTCGCCATTTTGGTCACGCGTCATAACACCCACGGCGGGATACCAAACAAGGGCAAAGAGGCGGAGAGTGAGCGGAGCTACAGACACCTGCTAGCATTTAGCTTGGACCTGGTTCAGACACACTTTACTTTGGGAGAAATGCTTAATACTTAATCACTTGTGACTCGTTTGTATTCTGACCACTTGTGCTTGGTTGTACACTATATCAATAAAGTGTTTAGACTTTTAAAAACACTGCTGTAATACATTGAGCCACTAAACATTGTTCTTATGACTTTTTTAAACAGGAGGAAAACGCGAATTACATACAAACACTTCAGATATAGTCTGTGTTAGTTACTGTAAGACTATTGATAAAATCCAGCATAACACTGTATGACAACGCTTCAGATGACTGTTCTAGAGCCTACAGCTAATCAATCTGACAGATTCTGGAGTGCATTACAGCTCTAAATATAAATATAAACGATAAATGATCTTAAATAAAACAAATACATGTATAGAGATGGTATATAAGTATATAACTTTACTCACATGGGAAACGGAGGCCACGTGAATGGTTTGTGAGCACAATTAAGTGCCCTCAGCATGCCATGCCATCTAATAATTGTGGGAAACAAGTCCAAAAGGCAGTTGACTTTGTAAAGCCACATAAAACAACGCAGAAATACGATAAATATGCCGAGTTCAGTGGCTAATCTGCAGAGGTGACGTGACGGCGACCAGCGAGACCTAACTGTCACTCAAGTGGCCACTCCCTTAATTATGCAAACTTAATATAACTTAATATAAAGGAAACGGATGAGTTATAAAAAAATTCACCCCCCTCACAGTTGTCATGAAGGGTAATATTAGCTGTATTAACCAAAATCTTTTTTTGTACCAGGCTGTAAACACCTTTTTTTCTGCTGTAAAGTTGGCCATTTTAACAGTGGGCTCAATTGAAATTTGCTCTGTTTTGGAGCCAGGAGCGGCCAGGACTAGCGGAATTTCGGATGAATTGCAGTTTTAGTTACTTCCGTATTGGCTTCCTGAGGGAGAGCGGGAGGTTGCCGCTTGGTTTCGACTCATTCGCAATATTTTCCCCAAACCAACTTTTCCCCTTTAAAGCTTGCTTTGGCCAGATGGCTTGCTCTAGGGGAGGATCAGAGGTTGTCTGCACATATTTGCGGCCAATGAATAATGAGGTCATGTCTGTGAACTTTGTTCACACAGAAATGCAAAAAGCTTGTATGATATTTTATTTGATTCTGTATTAAGCGAATAAACATTGAAATAATTATTCTATATAATATATCTCTGCAACAGATGGACACAGATGTCCTTGGACAGAAAAGGTGATTTACAGTGAGCGTGTTTCTTCTCTTTGTGCATTGGATGTCCTATGAATTGCAGCATGTTTGAGTTCATTAAAGTGGCTTTGAATGTCCTGATGCAATTGACAGTAATCTTACTTCTTTAGAAATGAAAAAGAACTCATTATCACAATAAATGAAGAACAAATAACCTCATGCATAATCCCTTTTCTCATAGTCCTGGATCCTTCAAATAACATCTCTGTATGCAAAAAAAGCTTCTACAAATACACTTCTGTTTTTTCCTCCCACCCTCATCTTCCTTGTTTTTTTATTTATGCGTCCCAGTCCACTGCCTGACTGGTTGAATTGTAAACCCTGTAGAGATGGCTATCCCAGCACACAGTCTTTATTTATGATGTCACTTCATATAATTGCTGTTGCAAGACCCACAGCCCTGTTGAGCGGAAAAAACAAGTTTCCCAAAGCCAGGCAGAGAAGTCCTTTTTGCCATAGTAGGGTAGGCAGTGATGAGGAAGGAAGTAAAGGCTGGTCGTTCAGCAGCGATGGGCATAACATCCTGTAAAAATCTCATTAAAGTGGTAGAGCACAGAACGCTATGCCACTAATGGTGGAGGAGACCATTCAGAAGACATTTATGATCAACCCCCAACACGAATACACTTAATGTTTATTTAATGTCTATGGTCTGTCTGTGAAATATGTATAAATAAAATAAATATGCATAAATAAAAAGTATATAATGTAAATTCATTTATTTAAACTATATAGAAAAAAGAATAGTAAATGGTAGTAGTTAAACAGTTGATGAACAGTTGCTTAATAATTATGTATTTTAGCATGGCTGGAGCACAATGTGTTGAACAATCAGTATCCAAGCCTGGAAATATAATTATGAATTATACTGTATAATAAAATTATGCACTCGCAGTGAGTGTATGCATGTTCTGGTTGTACTCTTAATATAACACTAGGAGAGTGTAGATATTTCTTCAAGGTCTATAATTCTGCTGCACTTCCAAAAAAAAAAAAAAAAAAAATATATATATATATATATATATATATATATATATATATATATATATATATATATATATATATATATTTCAAAATGCTTGTTTCATGTGATACACAGAAAACCTATTTCCATTTCTGAAATAGTAGGTTTTTACATGTAAAGAGAAAGTGTTGAATGTAAACAACTTTTTTTCAGTACTTACATTGGAAGAATTAAGTATTGAACACAGTTTTTTTTCCTGTAAATAATATTTCTAAAGCTGTTAAAATGGAATTGCGCTAGATTTTGATAAAAAAACAAACAACACACACATAAAAATAAAACAAAACGAAACAATCTGAAAAAACTGTTATGTGTAATAACAATGGAACGACACAAGGAGAATGTACAGAACTTTATATAAGTAAAGTTTCACAAACTAATTTCATGAGGAGAACATTATATGATTGATTACAGCTGGTCTCTCATCCGTAATCATTAGTGAGCCAATCGGATTAATCCATACTCATCTACTATAAATTCTTTATCTGTATTTTTTGAAGAATCTCCCGTCCACTCTATCTCTTCCTTTTCCTCCTTTACCAGGGAGAGCTCTCGAGAACTACCTAGTCTCGTACCTCCTTACATTCTCATCAATCAGGGCTTTAGGCTCAGTTATCTCTGAGCTCAGGGTCCTCTCTCTCTTTTGGTTTCTCTCTTTTGTTTTTATTACACTTAACTTCATTTGTAAACTAATCAGATTTGTTTGCATATTTATGGATTTCTTTGGTTTGGTTTATTAACATCCGGTGAAAATGTCAAGTCAACAGCACTGTTAGAAATAGTTTTCTGAGAAAAATGGTGATGTGTTGAATATTTATTTTCTCCACTGTATATAATGTACAAATGCGTAAATAGTTTTGTTTGGTATAAGTGCTGTGTAATTTAGAAATGCTATTAAAATGCAAATTAAAGGCATATTTTACCCATTAAGTAATATTGTCATTGTTCGCACACATGCTTGCTTGGTTTGGGACTTGTGGAGCTGCCCATTGATGGATTTGCTTTTCAGTGTTTGGACTTTCAGCAGTGAAATTAGAATCTCAGAAAACTGGACTGACACAGCTTCAATTTAATAGCACTTCTGTGTTAAGCTGCTTTGACACAATCTGCACTGCAAAAGCGCTATTGAAATTAAGATAAATTGAAAGAAACAAATTGAATGTGGTTCAAAATCCATAAGACTTGTTCATCACCTTTATGTTCCCTTCTTCATAGGCCAAAAAGCCAGTATGCCCTATGTTCAAGTGAAACTTATCGTTTGTCTGTTTCCTGGGTTCGAACTGAAACAGGGATCGAGCCTTTAGTCATGCCCACCCCCTCATCCTGGAATACTCTTCAGTCTGAACTAAAAATGTCTGAGCTCATCCCAATAAATCATTTCTCTTCATCCTTTATACAAACAACAACAGTCTATTTCTCAATGTACAGTTGAAATAAAAATATTAGCCCCTCTGGGTTATTAGCCCCACTGTTTATTTTTTCCCAATTTCTGTTTAATGGGGAGAAGTTTTTTTTTTCAGTACATTTCTAAACATAATAGTTTTAATAACTTATTTCTAATAAGTGATTTATTTTATCTTTGCCCTGATGACAGTAAATAATATTTGACTAGATATTTTTAAAGACACTTCTATACAGCTTAATGTGACATTTAAAGGCTTAACTAGGATAATTAGGTTAGCTGGGCAAGTTATTGTATAACAATGGTTTGTTCTTTAGAATATCAAAAAATAGCTTAAGGGGGCTAATAATTTTGTCCTTAAAATGGTTTAAAAAAAAAAACTGCTTTTATTCTAGCTGAAATAAAACAATTAAGATTTTCTTCAGAAGAAAAAATATCAGGCATTCTGTAAAAATTTCCTTGCTCTGTTAAACATCGTTTGGGAAATATAAAAAAAAAATCAAAGGGGGGTTAATAATTATGACTATATGTGTTTTTAACATATTGTAATGGGGTATAGCTGAATAGTATGGAGTCAATCTAGGGTCATATATATTTGCAACTTAAAAGAGAGTTTTGCAAACAAAAAAATAAAGTATTTTGCAAAAAATAATAAAATAATGTAAATCTCAAAAAATCTGGAAATTAAAAGCAAATAAAAATCAAGTAGTGCAAAAAAAAAAGAAATATTTGCAATTTAAAACTAGATTTTTATTTGCACTTATTTGTTTTTGTTTGCAAAATTCCTTTTTATTTCTCAAAACTTAATTTTCCTTTGGGATTTTTTTTGAGATTTGCATTATATTTTTACATTTTTTGTTCAATTCTTTATTTTTTTGTTTGCAAAAACTTTCTTTTATGTTGCAAGTATATATGACTCTAGATTGACTCCATAGAATAACTTAATTGTAATTTATCATTATTTTTTAGTTTTATTTATTATTATTAGCTTTTTTTTTTTTTACCAGGTCTGTGTTGCGGACCTCTTGGCAAGGTCATCCTTGTAAATGAGATCTTGATCTCAACGTTTTTTTTTTTTTTTTTTATCTGGTTAAATGAAGAAACACATATCTTGGAAAACCAACGGCATTTTTAAAATGATTATCCATTGAAAGTTTATATATTTTACAGTTTTAAAATGTACATAACGACACTGTAAAATGAACTCATATGTATTGAGCAGGTTAATCAGAATCAACATCACTTTAAATGGTAGACAGATTTTAACTTTAACTTAAGTTTTTTTATTTATAGTTATTATTCATTCATTTATTTTCTTTTCGGCTTAGTCCCTTTATTAATCTGGGGTCGCCACAGCGGAATGAACCACCAACTTATCCACTATAGGTGTTACGCAGTGGATGCCCTTCCGGCTTCAACCCTTTTCTGGGAAACATCCACACACTTATTTACACACATATTGTACACTACAGACAATTTTAGCTTACCCAATTCACCTGTACTGCATGTCTTTGGACTGTGGGGGAAACCAGAGCACCCAGTGACCTTCTGGCTGTGAGGCGACAGCACTACCAACTACGCTACCGTGTCGTCTACTGTTATTATTGAAATGTTAACTATTCACAATAACATACCTTATTGTCTTTTGTGTTTGGAAGGACATGAATAAATGAGAACAGATTTAAATTGTGACTTAGTTAACCATTGAAATGGTTAATTCAAAATTACAGCAATTTATGATTGACTTTTACTTCTTGAGATTTAAATATACCTTTTAAAAACACATCTTTTATTCCAATGTCTTTTTAAGCGATAGTCTTCTATATTTTAGTCAGTGTGTGTGTGTGTGTGTGTGTGTGTGTGTTTGAGAGAGATCGAAATCATTAGTAGTAAGAGTGTGTATGTGTGTGTAGTTTTGGGCTTGCCTTGTTCTCCAGCTGCTCTGTGTAGTGCTCTTGTCTGTGGTCTTCATGTCATGGCAATGCTTGCGTCAGCAGCTCAGATGAGCCTCGGCCAGCTGTCACTTCATGACTCTGCGCTCATTTTACACTCGTGGGAGAGTGTGTCTGAATTTAATGTGCCATTTCTCAAGATGGCAAATCAAATGTGGTCCTACTTTCTTCAGACAGTTTGTGTGTAGGCCTGTTCAACACTGATAATCAGCATGGTAGCTTTAGGTTATGCTATACCTTATCACCACATTCCACCTGAGGCTGTTATGTCATTTTAGGTTTTTTTTTTCTTTTTCTATCTAAATGGTTCTGAAATTGTTCCACCATCTCTTTCTAGCTCCTGAGGAGTTTGTCTCATTGGCTGAAATGGAGGACACTTTATTGAGGAATCTTTTTCGGGGATATCAGAAGTGGGTGAGACCTGTCCTTCACGCCAACGACACGATTACTGTTCGCTTCGGTCTGAAGATCTCACAGTTGGTGGATGTGGTAAGACACACACACACATATGCAGTATGCAATGTAGCATATGTGGCAGGTTGCATAGACATAGGCCTTACTGGTTTAAACAAGTGCATTTACTGTACACAACAGTTTTACTTTTCAGATTGAAGTTGGACTGAATTCAAAATTATGAGTGGTTGATGGGGAAAGAATTAGTCCTAGCTCTTTGGAATAAAGAGAGCTTTGGCATTAGGGGGCATAAATTGGCCTCTGTTGTTCAAAGGCTGATTTATACTTCTGCGTCAAGCATACGCGTATGCTTTAGTGCAGCCTATGCATGGACACATAGCGGTGGACACATTGGCATCTCTCAAAAAATGTAGCTACACGTTGCAACGACGCGTAGCGCAAGCTCTGTGATTAGTTGGCTTGGTATCGCTGCCGAGTGTGGGCGGGACTGAGAGCCGTGCGAGCCCAATGGAGCAAGTGTTTACAAGTGTGGAGTCCATTGAAGAAGTTTAGGATGGAAAGATTTGTTTTGTGTTTACCTCATGGTTAAAGTTGTTGCCTCAAAATGAAAGAGTTTGAACCACTTGTACATTAAGGAAGCGTTTCGAAAAAAATAAAACACCAGCGAAGAAACTCGACACAGAGGAACATTAACACCTCACTGCCAACTAGCGTTTCGGAAGTGTTATTGCAGAGAAACAGTAACAGCACGCAAAAGTATGAATGCACAGCTACGCGTGTTGCATGCGTTGTGGGTCATGCCGATTACTGACGCAGAAGTATAAATGAGGCTTAAAGCCTTGTTTATTCGAATACGCTTGAGTTTTAGAACGCCGTTTGAAAGCGATCCACGTCCACACTGGCGTTTCACCTTGCATTTCTGAACAGCTCTTCATCTACACGCTAAAAACGCACATCACGTGACCATACACATGCTCTGGCATACACTGCAGTTTTGGCTGTTTTGGCTGAGCGCAAAGATAGGTTAATATACCAGCGAAGGTCGCTGGTTTGAGCCTCGGCGGGGTCAGTTGGCATTTCTGTGTGGAGTTTGCATGTTCTCCCCACGTTTGCATGGGTTTCCTCTGGGTACTCCGGTTTCCCCTACAAGTCAGTGGTACAGGTGAATTGGGTTAGCTAAGTTGTCCATAATGTGTGTGTATGGATGTTTCCCAGAGATGGGTTGCAACTGGAAGGGCATCCGCTGCATAAAACACATGCTGGATAAGTTGGCGGTTCATTTCACTGTGGCGACCCTAGATTAATAAATAGACTAAGCCGAAAATAAAATGAATGAATGAAATGGTCTGGTTTTACCTTATTTGGAAGGGTTATAAGCATTAGAGCTCTGATTATCTTTTTCACTGTGGCTCATTCATGAGCTACCAGCCTCTCATAGCAAACAGATATATATTGTCAGGTGTGAATGCAGTAACTGTGATAAGCGTGCTCTGAAATAATCATTCTTCAGTTGCCAAAAAAGTTTTTAACAAATTGAGTAAATGTCTTGTCAAACGACAATCATTTAAACTTAAATGGATAGTTCCGCCACATTATTAACCATAAGATAAGTACAGCTACAGTAGCTGACTAATATTAACATTGTTATAGAAGCATCTATATATGCATACAGTGCTGGTCAACACTGCTAGAGCACCCACTAACGCAGAAATAGAGGTGACCCAAAACTATTTATAAGAGGTGAAAATAATTAGAATTTGATGTTATTATTGATGTGAGAATTTGGTCACCACTGTATATGTCTGTTAAGTCCAATAGAACATAGAACATAGAATGTAGTACACTCTTTTGCGGCTGCCATGCACACTTGATGCTCCCCTCTGCCAAGTTTGCACTGAGACAAGCTCTGAGACTTCTACTCGACAGTGGCATTACGTCACAAAACTGCAGACTCAGAGGAAACCCATTAGGATTTCAGGTGCCATTTGGGATTGGGCTAATGCAACAGACTCATGGTCTTAACTTGTCCAGTCAAATGACCTGTGCAATCATGTTTACATGTGGCAGTTTTGACTTTGTCATCTCATCTGCCTCATCTTCCAGATCCTAGATCCTCATTAGCTCAATAAACTGCCCCTTTTGTATTTTTATTGTTTTTTTCTACTATTTCTCTTATAAAAATGTGTGCTTAGATTCACCAGCATCTGCAAATCAGTAATAATAAATTAATTACAGGACTTAATATATTGTATAACTTTAAAGGGCCAATTTACTTAATTTTAATTTTGTCATAATACATTAATACATTACTCGCACTTAAAGAGTTATTTGTTCTTGTTGATTACTGTTGTATGCAAATGAAACACATTTTTTAAAAGATTGTTCCATAACTATGTGAGTGAGAAGATCTCAAGATCTGCATATTTAGAGTGACATGAGCTTGAGTAAAATGATACGAGTCAAAATTGTCAACTAACATTTAAAATAATTTGTTTTGGTAATTATTTAATAATCATCTCTACTTTTCACACTGCTAAGCACAATGATTTTTTCAAGTTGTACAAAACATCTTTAGATGCTGCTTGACATCACAAACTGGTATTTCTGACAAAACTATTTTAATGAATTGTCTTAATTATTAACACACAGGACAGTTTTGGCTTTACTGCACTTTGTTGTTTTGATGAGAACATCATTAAAAGATCAACGGCATAATTCTGTACAGCATAATTATTTTATAGTTAATGCATATTTATGTTGAGTAGTTCTAGAAAGCAGACTTTTCTATCATAATTAATAGTGATTGTTTCTTTTCTGTGCGGATTATTCATGATTAATTATTCATTCAATTTGACAGATATATTAAGAAGAGAGTGAGACTGGAAGGGACATGAGAGAAAATTCTCTAGTTATCATAAACTGTCATGGAATGCTAAATGCTGTATATTTTGTTGTTGTTGATTTTACTGTTTATCTCTCTGATCAGTTTTGTACGTTATAATTTTATGTTACTTTCTTATTTAGATTAATACAGTCTGTTGCAATACTTTAGTCATGTGTGTTACCATAAGATGGTGTTTAGTTTACCGATGGTGTTTAGTATACTATACTGTATATATCAGTATGTTTCTATATTTCTTGACTTATATAAAAGCTGTTTGGGATTAGCAGTGGTTCCTCATAGGGGTTCCACATGCTTTTTGGTTGTGATTTTGTCTTTGTAATATACACTCATCAGTCACTTTATTAAGTACACCTGTCCAACTGCTCGTTAACACAAATTTCTAATCAGCCAATCATATGGCAGCAACTCAGTGCATTTAGGCATGTAGACATAATCAAGTCAATCTGCTGCAGTTCAAACCGAGGATCAGAATGCAGGGAACAAAGGTGATTTAAGTGACGGGTTGGTGTGAGTATTTCAGAAACTGCTGATCTACTGAGATTTTCACACACAACCATCTCTAGGGTTTACAGAGAATGGTCCGTAAAAGAGAAAATATCCAGTGAGTAGAAGTTCTGTGGGCGCAAATGCCTTGTTGATGCCAGAGGTCAGAGGAGAATCCAGCTGATAGAAAGGTAACAGTAAGGCCCAATCCTAATTCTACCCCTTAGCTTATCCTCTTACCCCTCCCTACCCCTCATTTTGCGCATGCCCATGAAGGGTTAGTGGTGTCCCAATTCTCTTTAGCTTGAAGGCGTAGGGCTAAGGGCAAGGGGTATACACCCCTTCAAATGAAGATTTTTCAGGACCACACTCGAAACCAAGAGGTAAGAAAATCTCCCAGAATACACCAGCCACAGCTGCACCTGGAAGCAAGGAGATCTACAAATTAGTATTTTTTGCCATTATTATGAATTTTTACAACAAACAAATAAACACGTTTTAATATATTCATAACCGCGTTCGTGTTTTACAGTCAACATAAAAAAAATAAATAAATAAAATAAAAAACACTAAATTTCACAATCTATAATTCCTAATCATAACTCCTATACAGCAGTACCACAACATTCTGACACTCAATGACACTGGAATACCCTGCTAGAAAAGTCTAGTGGCTGTCAATGGGCTTATTACAGTGTCTTGTCACGGTCGTGGTGGGGAAAAGGAGCGAGGACTCAAGTGCAAAGAAACAATGGGTATTTATTAATAATAAAATAAAAATAAAAGGCAAAACAAAACTACCCCGAAGGGGAAAACATGAATACAAAGGCAAAAACAAACTTGACAGGGCTGGCAGGACAAGACAGGGCTGGACACAACAAGACAGGAAACTAGCAACGACGAACTGGCCAAGGACTGAAAACATGATGGGGATTATAAAGCAAAAAAGTAAATTGACACACAGGTGAACACAATTAACTAATGATGGGTTAACAAGGAGGGTGGGACTAGACAATAGACGGGAGAGCGCATGACACAGAGGGACAATACAAGCCATGCGCTCACATAACACAACACTGAAGCACACGACAAAAGCACGTGACCACAATGTAAACACCGAGCCACGTGCTTTGACAAAAGACGCAAGACACGAGCACACGATGAATGAAAGCACTCACCGTGCGCTGACACACGCAGCGTGCATGCTTCATCCCAGCGCCGACCAAAACCGAAACCAACAAGACTGAGACGCTGGGAATGAAACACCACGCTGCTGACAGACGAAAACACAAACACGAGTACAAGAGCGCACGCGTCTGAGGGACGCAGAGCGCGCGCGCGGCCGCGTCAAGCAGAAGCGCGCACACTCTGCGTACACCCACGACGGCGCGCGCACACACAGAGACAGAAACAGGACCAGACCTGAGTAGTGTCAGAGCTCTGCCACCAAAACAAGAATTTACAAGACCAAAGTGGCAGAACCCTGACATGTCTACTATAATGTTAATGTTGTTTTTGTGAGTTTACATAGATGAATATGGCCACTGTGTAAATGAACAGCACAGTTACGATCTTATTGCCACATTACATCATTATGATAACAAAATATATGCCTTCAGTGATTTCCAGAAGATAAAAACCAAAACATAACACAACTGCAATCACTACAGCTGTCGCGATCGTCTGATCTCATATGAAGCAAGAGATCATGATGACGTGTGCAGGTGCTGTAGTGCTATTTCAATTCTAAGGGGTACATTTTTAAGCCCTTCCCCATAACCCTCAGTTGTAAGGGCCAAGAGGAAGGGGTAGGGGTACTGCAATAGAATTTGGAATGGGCCTAACTCAAACAACCACTCGTTGCAACCGAGGTATGCAGAAGAGCATCTCTGAATGCAGAACACGGCCAACCTTAAGGCAGATGAGCTACAGCAGCAGAAGATCACATCGGGCGCCACTCCTGTCAGCTAAGAACAGGAAACTGAGTCTACAATTTGCCCAGGCTCACCAAAATTGCTCAATAGAAGATTGAAAAAACGTTGCCCAGACTGATGAGTCTTGATTTCTGCTGCGACATTCAGATGGTATGGTCAGAATTTGGTGTCAACAACATGAAAGCATGAGTTCATCCTGTCTTATATCAACGGTTCAGGCTGCTGGTGGTGATGTAATGGTGTGGATATAGATATTTACTTGGTACACTATAGGTCTATTAGTACCAATTGAGCATCGTGTCAACGCCACAGCCTACCTAATTATTGTTGCTGACCAAGTACATGACTTTATGACCACAGTGTACCCATCTTCCGATGGCTACTTCCATTAGGATGACGTGCCATGTCATAAAGCATGAATCATCTCAGACTGGTTTCTTGAACATGACAATGAGTTCACTGTACTCAAATGGCCTCCACAGTCACCAGCGCTCAATCCATTAGAGCACATTTGGGATGTGGTGGATTGTGAGATTTGCATCATGGATGTGCAGCTGACAAATCTACAGCAACTGTGTGATGCTATCAAGTCAATATGGACAAAAATCTCTGAGGAATATTTCTAGTACTTTGTTGAATTTATGAAGGATTATCCACAAAGGATTAGGGCAGTTCTGAAGACAAAAGGGTGTCCAATCTGGTACTATTAAGGTGTACCTAAAGTGGTGGGTACAATGTGTAGATGTTAGTATTTTAAATAACTGGTATATTAACACTATAAATTAAATAAATACTGTAGATTACCATAAAATTTAAGTTTAATTTTGGCAACCACAGCTGCCATTTTAATGTTGAGCTAGAATAAAAGCAAAAAAATTTTTTTTAAGTTTTTCATTTCTCAAAAGCCATTTTAAGGTCAAAATTATTAGCCCCTTTAAGCTATATTTTTTCGATAGTCTACAGAACAAACCATCATTATACAATACCTTGCCTAATTACCCTAATCTGCCCAGTTAAACTAATTAACCTTGTTAAGCCTTTAAATGTCACTTTAAGCTGTATAGAAGTGTCTTAAAAATGTCTAGTCAAATATTATTTACTGTCATCATGGCAAGGATAAAGGAAATCAGTTATTAGAAATAAGTTATTAAAACTATTATGTTTAGAAATAAATCTTTTCTCAGTTAAACAGAAATTGGGGGGAAAAACAAACAAGGGGGTTAATAATTCAGGGGGGCTAATAACTCTGACTTCAAGTGTGTGTACATACATATTGTCACCTTAGAATTATAATATTCTATCTGACATTCAGAGAGATTCAGACATTCAGAACACGGGTAGAACCTTATAATCCTAAGGTGAAGATATATATATAATATCTATATATAATTTAATATAATATATATAATGTTTTTTTACAGTGCATATAGTTTTCAAATTTATGAACTATCCCTTTAAGCTAATGGCAGTTGACAGTTAAATCCAATCAAGGAATCTGAGTCATGCTTGCACCAGTCCATTAATCAAATAATAATTCAATTTACATAAAGTGTGTGAATAATTATATCTTACCGTATTTGCATCTGACAGCACCTCCTCTTTGTTCTTTGTATAACATTTTTTTGTGTTCTCAATTTCTCTACATAAATAATTAGCATCTTCAAAAACAGCATCTTACAATTTTAAGATGCCCTTATCAATAACCATTGATTAAATTTATAAGTCTTGCCATAATTCCAGTTATTTAATAAATATAAAATTTCCTTATCTTGACTTATTATCTATATTTTTTATTAAAAGCACATTAAATACATATCACCTAAATAGTTCTGTTTACATTCAAACTTATCATAATCAATACCAATTTGCTTCTGTCTGTCATCTTGATTGACTAATCATAGCAGATATGAAGTTTCCTATTGGCACCTTATTTTTGTACTTAGCTTGTAAAAATAACATTGGGAGAACTTTTTTTTGGGTGAACTCTTTAGGTGAGCTCCCATTCTTATTTCTTTATTAACCGGAAGTGCTGAGTGTCAAGATTTTTGCCTTTGCAAGTAGTATAAGGAGATTGGAAGTCGTCCAAATCCAATGTTTACATCTTCATACTGTAACATACTGCCAGCGGAGATGCCTTTGTCAGCTTGATTTTTGAAAGATCTGGACAGACCCCACAATCCTCTGCATATTTTTATCTGGTTTGTGACAACAATTAAAATATAGGATATAGGATGAATGTTTTATTTAAGCTGCATATGAACATAAATTCTTGCTAACATTTACATTGTGTTTAAGTCATTATATTTTTGCCTGACTGTGTCTAAAGCTAATTTCAGATATAACCAAAGTGACAATGTCTGCGTAAAGCTTTTTTTATTTTGACTAGTGAGGCAGCAAGGAACATGCCATATTTAGCAGTGCTGCAGAGCCACCTCATGGTCATATTCTGTAATCAACACTTCATGGTTTTGGGCTCACCTTGTAGTCACGACTTGACAGTGAGAATTTTCTGGCTGATGAACAATGAAAACTGTTGGAACAATCGATTTCACACCGTTCTTATTTTAACAGATGTGTCAGATTATAAGTTCCTATTCAGGGTCTGAAATTCCATTTAACGAAACAAAGGACATAAGATTATTTCTCTTGAACTGTATTCATTATTAGCACAGCTAAGATAATAATCTGTATGACACAATTAGTTCAATGGTGAAAGATTTGTCCAGTCTTTGATTTGGATTCCAGACGTCATAGTGTGCTAAAATCATTTTTGTAACAATATATTTATCTCTCTCTTTTTTATATTTCTTCCCCAGGATGAAAAAAATCAACTGATGACCACAAATGTCTGGTTGTGGGAGGTAATACAAAGATAATTAGCTTTTTATGTTTAAGTATGTATCATAATACCTTCTTGATTGATTATTTATTTGTTTAATCACTTTTTTGCAGGAGTGGACAGACTACAAACTGCGCTGGAATCCAGAAGACTATGGGGGAATCACATCTATCAGAGTACCCTCAGAAACGATTTGGCTGCCAGATATTGTCCTTTATGAAAAGTAAGCCTATTATGACCATATAAAATGTCATACAGGTGCACATATTTCATACTGCAGTTGCTGATCTTGGTTTTGGTGCATTTGTTCGGATCTTTTAAAAAATGTGTTTAATCTCTTGAAATATTCAAATCTGCATTATGTCATGGAAAGACAGATTAAATAACTGCTTGATTGTAACTGATGGGGCTGGCCGATTAATCGAAAAGTAATTGAAATTTTGAAAAGTTGTGTAGCGCCATCTAACGCCAAGGAGTGATTTTGCATAATCTTCTGCTTGACGGCAGTGAAAATCGATTGGTTTTTGAATCCGGAAAAACATCTTGTAAAACGCTGACGATAAACGCAAACGAAAAGCAACCCGGTGTGTACGAGCCTTTAGCCTTACTCCTCGTTTTGCACGTTCAAATGAAGGTGTAGGGATGTCCAAACTCTCTTTATCTTAAAGGTGTAGGCCTAAGTGGAAGGGCTACATAGCCCTTGAAAGAGAGATTTCCCTGAATACACCAGCCACAACGGCTGCATAGCACTAAAATAAAAATTGCCAAATTTTGCTATCTGTAATAATAACTCCTGTATAGTAGTTCTACAACATTCTGACACTTGATGACACTCGAATACCCTGTCAGAAAAGTTTATTGGCTGAGAATGAGCTTTTTACAGTGTCTACTATAATGTTAATGTTGTTTCCTTGTGTTTACAATGATGAATATGGCCAGGGTGTAAATGCACAGTACAGTTATGATCTTATTGCCACATTAGATTGTTATGATAACATGATATTATCCTGAATATATTATCCAGGGTAATAGATATTATCCTATTATCCTGATTTTTTAGCATTTACTACAGCAGTCTCGATTGTCTGATCTCATATGAAGCAAGAGACTGTGATGAAGTGTGCAGGTGCTGTAGTGGTGTCCCATTTCAGAGGGGTAAAATTTAAAGCCCTTTCCCTTCACACTCTGTTTGAATGGGGAAGGGGTAGGGTACAAAAACAGAATTGGGATTAGGCCTATATACTGTATTTGCATATTTTTTAATAAAAAAGCTGAACCTAGTGGCATTGACATTTCGTCACCTTATAATTACAAGGTTCTATCTGACATTTTTGTCAAAGTTGAGTTATTGACATAATCTTAATCAATGACAACATATTTACATTATGGGATGTTTTTTTATAAGTTTTTCACATTTTAAGACTTTTTATTTCAAAAAACAAATGTTAAACGCATACTGTTTGCTATGGAATGCAAAAACTTTGAAGCTCAAAATCATTAAGAACGCAGATAGAACCTTATAATTCTAAGGTGACGATTTGTAGTCACATTGTCTTCAAAATAATTGCTAATATCGCTGTATGTTTCTCTCTTAGTGCTGATGGCCGATTTGAGGGATCTCTAATGACTAAAGCCATTGTAAGGTTTAACGGTACCATCATGTGGACTCCTCCTGCCAGCTATAAATCCGCCTGCACCATGGACGTCACCTTTTTCCCCTTTGACAGACAGAACTGCTCAATGAAGTTTGGATCATGGACATACGATGGCACTATGGTGGATCTGACCCTTGTTGACGCTTACGTGGACCGTAAAGACTTCTTTGACAACGGCGAATGGGAAATACTCAATGCCACTGGCCAAAGAGGCAGTCGACGTGACGGCATTTACTCTTATCCTTACCTCACATATTCATTCATCCTTAAGCGTCTCCCTCTGTTTTACACACTCTTTCTCATCATCCCGTGTCTCGGTTTGTCGTTTCTCACTGTGCTGGTCTTCTACCTTCCATCAGACGAAGGGGAAAAGCTTTCCCTCTCCACTTCCGTCCTTGTGTCTCTCACTGTGTTTCTTCTCGTCATTGAAGAGATCATTCCGTCTTCCTCTAAAGTCATTCCTCTGATTGGAGAGTATCTACTTTTTATCATGATCTTTGTCACTTTCTCGATCATCGTAACTGTCTTTGTCATCAACGTTCATCACCGTTCCTCTGCCACTTACCATCCCATGGCACCTTGGGTGAAGAGTCTTTTCCTCCAGAGATTACCCAGACTGCTGTGCATGAGAGGACACACTGACCGATATCAGTACCCGGACATCGAGCTGCGGAGCCCAGAGCTCAAACGAGGGATGAAGAAAGGGCAACAGAAGAGTGCTGGAGGAGGACGAGCTGGAGTTAAGGAGGATGAAAACCAGGCCTGGATTGCCCTGTTGGAGAAAGCCACCCACTCAGTGCACTACATTTCCAGACACATCCGGAAGGAACACTTCATCAGAGAGGTGCTTTATGGATTTTTTTCAGCATTAGCATTTAGGTTAATGATTTGTTCACATATGCTGTGCTGTTCACATGGGTTTTTCTCCGGGTGCTCCGGTTTCCCCCACAAGTCCAAAGACATGCAGTACAGGTGAATTAGGTAGGCTAAATTGTCTGTAGTGTTTGTGTGTGAATAAGTAGGTATGGACGTTTCCCAGTGATGGGTTGTAGCTGGAAGGGCATCCCCTGCGTAAAACATGTGCTGGATAAGTTGGTGGCTCATTCCGCTGTGCCGACCACAGATTAATATAGGGACTAAGCTGAAAAGAAAATGAATGTATGAATGATGCTGTGCTGTGCTGTAAACCAAACATTCATTCATTCATTTTCTTTTCAGCTTAGTCCCTTTATTAATCCGGGAGTGCCAACTTATCAAGCACATTTTTTGGATGCCCTTCCAGCTGCAACCCATCTCTGGGAAACATCCACACACACAATCACACACACACTACGGACAATTTAGCCTACCCAATTTACCTGTCCCACATGTCTTTGGACTGTGGGGAAACCGGAGCATCCGGAGGAAACCCATGTGAACGCAGGGAGAACATGCAAACTCCACACAGAAACACCAACTGAGTCGAGGATCAAACCAGCGACCTTCTTGGCGTGAGGCGACAGCACTACCTACTGCGCCACTGCGTCGCCCTTGTAAACCAAACAGTAAAATTAAATTACAATTAAATTAAACAAGTTCATTTCACTCCAATAATTAAAAAAATAATTACTTAATAGAAATAATTACATCAACTCAAAAGTTCTGTGTATTAAGGTGAACTTAAACTCATTGAGTAGAAGCAGATTGCTATTTCTCAGCATATGTTGCATCAGACTGTTTAAGGAAAATCTGTACTGAAATTAGGTGTTAAGCTGCAGTCACACTAGAGTAACAAGTTTCCCTATACTGGGTTGTGGCTGGAAGTACATTCGCTGCGTAAAACGTATGCTGGAAAGTTGGTGGTTCATTCTGCTGTGGCTACCCGTGGTTAAAAAGAGACTAAGCCGAAGGAAAATGACAAAATGTTTTATAAATGTATTATTTTAAACTTTAATGTAATTTAATAGTTTTAAATAAGTGTTTATGTGTCAATTTAAGAAAAAAACTTATAAACAATAACAGAAATTAAGGCAAGAATGCTTCCTGCATGAAAGTCCCCATGCTAATTTTCTGCAGCAAAATTTACACAATTTACTGTGTTAGCTCACAGATGAACAGTTAATCTATGCGAGTTCATCCACTGAGAAAGATGTTTGTCTTCGTTATCCTTAATCAAAATCTGTAAAAATATTTCCACCCTGGAATGCATCCATTATCTGATGATGTCAGTTTGACAGCTTGGGTAGAATATTCTTAATCACTCTGACTATCCCTCCTCTATGAAGATAGTGAGGAGTGCAAAATAAATGCAAATTAGCTATCTAGCTAATTATCTATCTAGCTAATTCTGACACAATATTTGTGTTGTGCATAATAAACTAATCCAATGAAAACTACTACATTTTCCCTTTCAGTAAGAAATACATCACAATACCGAAGTAATGTTGAGCTTTCAAATCACACATTCAGTTTGTTACTGATATAAATTCTATGAAACATGCTTTGTTATTAAGATGAAAAACATTTTAATGATGTAATGTATTTACCGTTTGGTCTGTGTTTCTCTTTCAGGTTGTTCAGGATTGGAAATTTGTGGCTCAGGTGTTGGACCGGATTTTCCTGTGGGCCTTTCTCACAGTTTCTGTGCTTGGGACCATCCTCATCTTCACCCCAGCTTTGCAGATGTTTTTTAGCACATCTTAAAACCCTTTTAAAAATCACCTTTACCCCCAGTAACGTTCTTATGACCCTAAGAAATAAATGTAGTTCCCACAAGATTACGGTAATCCCTCTGTAAGTCTTTTTTTGACCTAGCCACATCTATAATCCCTCAAAATTCTGGGAGGAAGCAAAACTCAGCAGAAATGAAGTGCAGGAGTTTTATTTTTATTTATTTTTGCCAAGTTGACACATTATTAAATAAAGTTTGAATATCTCTATAAGGCATCTTGGTTTAGAAACCCTCAAAAATGTGACTTTACACTTTGTATGTCACTGTTTAACTATGTCTCTTAGGCCTGTCATTTTTGCTTTCGGGTTTTATTGATATTTTATTTTTAAAACTAGAACTGTGCTCACTATCCATGTAATACTGTGCTGTGTAATTATGTTACTCAATAGATAGCAAACTATTATGGTTTTTAATTTATCTCTCTTTTTGAAATAAAAATGCTGTCTGTGGGAAAGATTTTAACTTTAGAATTGATTTTCATTGAATTAATTAGTAGGATTATATTTTAATGGAACACATTTGTATTCATTTACCTGAAGCAAGATATATTCAAATCAAGAATAAACTTAAAAACTCATTATTTCAAAACATCCGCTCATTACGTATCCATAAATACATTTCTGGAGAGAGCAAAATACGTCCCCGGAGCTAAGTTTTTTGCGTTTTTTTTTCACGAATTCGCCAGAGGCCGCTGTGTGCACATTTGCGATCTCAAATTTTTCTCGCAAGTGCCATTTACGCCTGCTGTTCTTGCGTAAATCCACCAGGGACCGCTGTCAATTGATTGAATGATTGACCCTTCCCTAAACCCAACCAATCCGCTTGTTAATTCATTTATGGCCACTTTTTTGTCATATCGCACTCTAAGTGAATTTTGTATAAAATCATAGTGTACACATCTGTCTCTGGGCTTGCTGCATCACAAATACCAAAATTTTAACAATTTCTGAAAAAATAATCACTTTCTGGCCACCGGATATTAGGAATGGATATACATTGCGATCATGATTTTCGAAAGTATTACATCACTTTGTAAACGTTTAATATTAGCATTTGATGATTCTCCCCATACAGTTTAATTTAGCACTTACGCCCAGAAGCACACGTCACACTTAACAAGCAGATAGCGTTTTGACCCGCCCACCCACTTTCCTAAACCCAACTGACAGTGATTTCAAAAGCAATCAAGAAAAAGAAGAGCCCTTACAGCAACCTGATTTTTACCACGTTTTCATATTTTACCACATTCTCACCCTGTTATTTACTTGTCTATTTTATTTTTTTGGCTTCTGTTTTTACCTGCTTTCTGGAACTATTCCTCACTGGACTTGAATCCCAGCATTGTTGCGGTCAAGTCCATGTTATTCTACTTCAAGTGTTATTTTTGTGCATTACTACACGGAGTTCTGCAACCTAGTGGATAAAACTTTAGTGTGGTCTTACCAATGCATTTTTTATTTTTATTTTTTGGAAATACTAATAAAATCAGAGAAGTCAGAATTATCAGCCACTCTTTTATTCTTTTTTTCTTTTTAAAATATTTTCCGAATGTTGTTTAACAGAGCAAAGAAATTTTTACATTATGTCTGATAATATTTTTTTTCTACTGGCGAAAGTCTTATTTGTTTTATTTTGGCTAGACTAAAAGCAGTTTTTAATTAAAAAAAGAAAAAAAAACGTTTTGAGGTCAAAATTATTAGCCCCTTTAAGCCATATATATTTTTTCAATAGTCTACAGAACAAACCATCATTATGCAATAACTTGCCTAATTACCCTTACCCACCTAGTTAACATAGTTAAGCCTTTAAATGTCACTTTAAGCTGAAAAGAAGTGTCTTGAAAATTATCTAGTAAAATATTATTTTACTAGATAATTAATAAACAGGGAATAAACAGGGGGGCTAATAATTCTGACCTCAACTGTAAAAACCATTGGGTAGCATTATGCATATGGTGTGTTGATTTTAAAATAATTTCTATTTTTGATGTGTCCGTGCATGACACAAAGCACATGTTTACTGTATTTATGTTCAGTCTTCCACTATCTGAAATTTATAAATTTGCACGGGTTTTGTCACATACTGTAAAATGATTAGCAAGTCTTAAGTGCCCCTATTAACTTTATTTATTTTTTAAATCTCATTTAATATCACCTATCATTCAATCTGAGCCTTTTTATTGCAAAATGTTTGATATATTTTTAAATTTATAGCCTACACCAAACAAAGTAGCGTAAAAGAAAGAACTATTTCTAAACTGCCAAAACGAGTTGACAGCAATTTCCAAACTCTGGCATTTTAGTGAAAAACCAATGATTAATATGAATGATGCATTTATAAGCTCAACGGAAATGTGATGGATATTATTCTCAGTACTCAAAAATATGATGCCATGAGTGCATATTTAAATGTGCTGTATCTATGACAAATCACGCAATGTATATTTGACTTATGCAGGGGGTTCTTTCCCTCATCATCTTGTATTTTGTCTATCTTTGTTCATTTTTCAATTACGTCTTGTTAATTCCTGATTGATGCAATTGTGCAAATATCAATGTAGCACAAATTGCGGGAAAAAATACTACAGCTGTCCGCTAGTCATATATGAAGTTTCAGGTTGTTAACTAGTAATTTTTTTTTTCAATTGAGATGGTAAAGTTGAATTTTGAAACTCAGATATGGTAACTGGTATTTGTTTCTCACACAAATGCTAAACATATAGTATGAGAAAAGGCAAACCTAATGTTTTCTAAATATGAAAATTTTAGAATAGCACAATATTAGGCGTTTTAAATTCTTTTATTTGCAATTTTGCACACCTTTGGATGAAATCTATGCCATTTGTTAAACATTAAGTCTCCTGATCTTTTTGTCGCCAATTCAGTGGAAGCAATAGTAGAGATTGCCTGATCACAACTGATTTAAGATCAATAAATGGATATATTGTATAACTTTTATAATGTTTATATAAAAATGATACAATATTTAATTGAGCAAAATCAGTCGCACAAATTTATGTAAGTCTTGTCAGTGATTCATGTTTTTTCGTGTTTTGTACTTACCTTAATTGAAGCACTTCTTCATGCTTCAGAATAGGCCAGCATTTTGCTTGGAATAAATTGGTATAATTGATTGATTATTAAATTACATATCTGATTCGTTTCATTTAAAACTAATTAAAATAATCAAACAATTAAGGCAAAATGAATACCTTAATCATATAGTTTGACTGAATATATTCACAATGATTAAAAAAAAAACATTTTTTTTATTTCAATAACATAAAAAGAACAGTTGTCATTAAAATTATTTAAAGGTTATTTGAAAACAGAATATACTGTATTGCCAACATTTCACTTCCTCTCTAAAACATCTCTCTTTTTTCTATTAATTACACTGAAATCATACGTTAAAGTCAGCATGGATTCTGTACATGAATAGTCAGTGCATCCTCTGCACATTCAGACACTTTATTAATGTATTTTAAACATGATTAAAGGAATAAATTGAATAATTCCTGTTTCATGTTGCTTCACTGCATCTTCATTTGATATAGAATGCTGTGGGGTGTTACTAATGGTGTAGTTTGCTTCTTTGATAGATAGGCTTTATCCTAGAAGCTCCTCATCCAAGAGTTATATCGTCAGTGTTCTCAGAGTGTGAACTATTTCTATTTGCAAAGGGTGTGAACTCCTCAGATGTATTTTCAAGCCACATCTGGGCTCTGTAATCATGAAATAGCAACTGATAATGTGTAAACAGTAGATTGAATTTCATGCTGTTGTGCCATTCCTCTCTGTTCAAAGCATGAGCTCTTGCTGGATTCTCATGAGGTCCACATGCGCTTGCAAATCACAGAGCTGCTCTCTGTGTTAACACATATTCATACACATACTGTATTTGTCAATATCGAATACATGTCACAAAAACAAAATGGTTTAGTGTTAGGCCTGCACATTATATAGTTTTAGCATCTATATCGCAATGTGATCATTTGCAATTGTCAGATGACATCGTAGAATATACAATGTTAATTTGTATTAAAATTCAAAATTTGCTTATGTTTTTGAGGCCTGTGATTGTGTAATGATTTTAAAACATCCAGGCGTAAGATTTGTGCTGTTTACAACTTTAATAACCGTTTATTTGAGTGTATTATTTTTATTGTTTAATTACTTCACCTGAACACTGTTAAATGGCAAATGGCAAAACACTGTTTATTTCAATTGTATCTGTTTCCTTATTTTATTTATAGGTTTAAAAGATTGTATGCAGATGTGCTCACCCAAAATCATCATAACCTATCTAAAGTGATCAATTCTTCCCAAACAAAGATATTCAAGTTGTCTTTTGAAATTGTATTCATATAGCAACATTCATTCATTCATTCATTTATTCATTTTCTTTTCACTTAGTTCCCTTATTAATCAGGAGTCACCTCAGCGGAATGAATCGCCAACTTATCCAGCACAAGTTTTACGCAGTGGATGCCCTTCCAACTGCAGCCCAACACTGGGAAACACTCATTGACTGTGGCCAATTTAGCTTATTCAATTCACCTATAGCGCATGTTTTTGTACTGGGGGGGAAACCAGAGCACCCGGAGAAAACATGCAAACTCCACAAAGAAATGCTAACGAACCAGCAACCTTTTTGCTGTGAGCTGATCATGCTACCCACTGCACCACCGTGACACCATATCGCAATACATATATCACAGAAAAGCAAAATATCACAATGTTAGATTTTTCCAATATTGTGCAGCCCTAGTTTCTGTTCTGTTTTAACACACAGCCAACATGACAAAAAATGCTGTGCAAAAATGGTGTAAGCATGGTTTTAGAGTAAAAAAAAAATTCTGATAATTCCTTATGGAAATTAGCCATGTTTTTTTTATACATACAGTAGTATAGTAAAATTATAGTAACTGTTTTTTTTCTCCCATAGAGTTATGGTTTCGCAAATCTAACCATAGTTTAACCATGGTATTTGTCGTAAAACTCTTGATTATGTGGAAGTCAATGTGCAAACTACAATTACAATTAACTACATCTTTTGCCCAGCGTATAATTTTCATAAAAGTATAATAATTAAATAAACATGAAAATTTTGATACATTTTTGGTTTCTTTCTTACAAACTGGTATGATTTTTATCAATAAATTACCAGTAAGTATAGACAGTTCATTGTACCGAAGAATTAAAAGCAATAGAGTGTCATGGGGTGTTGTCTCAGCATCTGTCTGCAGCACTCATCTACAATGCTGCATGTTTTGGACTGCTGTTCTGTGAACTGAACTCAGTTATGTGTCGGGGAAAAAGGCCTAAGTTTAGTTAACTAATACTATTACTTCTGTTGTTTATGCTATCTTGCAAACACTACTGCTGTACATAATCACTGACAATAATAGTTTGTTGGTAGAAAGGACATTATTATTTTTAAATGTAAA